CAATGCAGTGGCACCAAACCATATGGTGTTCTTCACTGTGAATGTACTCACAGAAAAAAAAATCCAATTCCACTTCAGAATGTCTTTGAAGAAGTAGTAAAGAGGATTTTTTAAAACCTCAACTCTTGAGAACACATCTTTTTAGTATTCTTTGTGGTGAAGGAAGTACACATAAAGCACTTCCACTATATACCACATATAATTGTTATCTGGAGGAAAAGCACTTGTGCAGTTGTTTGAGTTGCTAGCTGAACTAGCCACTTTTATCATGGAACATAATTTTTATTTGAAAGAATAAGTTACAGGCAAACTATGGTTATTTACACTGGGCAGACATTTTCTTATGATATTTCACAGACATTTTCTTGAAAAGGAACAAGTAAGACTGTCACTTCAAGGAAAACAACTAAAAGTAATTTGTTGTCAGTGATAAAATTGAGCAAACAAATGAAAATTGGAATTTTGGAAAGCTTGTTGCTTCCACCATGAACTTAACAGCTTCCCAATTCTTAAACATGTGTTTTTTTCCTGATGAGACTGATGGTGATATTAATGAATCTAATGTTTTGATACTGTATAATTAAATGTGCCAACATTTGGAAGATCTATATAACTCAATCAATATTTTCTAACAGCCAGTGCATTCATTCTCTTATAAAATCATGCATAACAAAAGATCCATTTAAAGTTCAAGAAGAATAATAGAATGCCAAAAATACACTTATACTCTTTCAGATGCTACATTGTAATCAACATTTTAAAATCTTCTTGTCAAGTTTTTTAAAAAATTTAAATAGACTTTTTTTAGAATAGTTTTAGGCTTACAAAAAAATTGAAAAGACAGTACAGAGAGTTTTCATATACTTCCAAACTCAGTTTTCCCTATTTACTATTATTATTATTATATTTATATTTATTTTAGAGAGAGAGAGAATGTAAGCAGGGAAGAGGTACAAAGCGAGAAAGAAAGAATCTTAAGCAGGCTCCACACTTAGGATGGAGCCAGTTGTGGGGCTTGATCCCACGACCCTGGGATCATGACTTGTGCCAAAATCAAGAGCTGGATGCTCAACCACCTGAGCCACTCAGAGCCCCCAGTTTCCCCTATTATTAACATCTTACATAGTATGGCATATTTGTTATATCAAGGGTATAAACTTTCAACATGAATTATTGCTGTTGATGTTAACCTTGATCACATGTGTCTGAAGCAGTGTCTGTCAGATTTCTCTACTATAACGTTACCTCCCCCCGCCCTTTTCATAGTGTGCTCTGTGAAAGGACGTTCTTGTTGAATTTTCATGTATCTTCAAAAAAGAGTATTCATGGGGCACCTGGGTGGCTCAGGCGGTTAAGCATCTGACTCTTGATTTTGGCTCAGGTCATAATCTCACGGTTCGTGGGCTCTGTGCTGACAGTGAAGAGCTTGTTTGGGATTCTCTCTCTTCCTCTCTCTCTCTGCCTCCCTCTCTGCCTCTCTCCTGCTCTCTCTCACTTTCTCTCTCAAAAAAGTAAAAATAAACTTACAAAAAAAAGAGTATCCGCGATTATCTGATATGGCTATTAAAATATTTTTCCCATTTCCAACTACATATCTATGTGAGACCAAATTTTTTTACATACTTTAACCAAACTATGACAAAAGATTGAATGTAGAAGTAAATATGAAGTTGTCCTTAATTTCTATTAAGCCAGACATTAAAGAGCTCTGCAAAAAATATGTCACTCTCTTTACTAAATTATCTTCACTTTGGAAAATGTTATTTTTCATAAAAATGTTACTTATGCTAATTTGATGGGTTGAATATAATGGTTTTTATCATTGTATTTTAAATAAATTATAAACATTGTAAAATTTTTTTCAGTTTTAATTTCTAATTCATAGAGTAAATATCAACAGAGATAACCTATATAAACCAAAAGTTCTTTGGGTCTCTCAATCATTTTTAAGACTGTAAAGGGTTCCTGAAACCAAGTAGTTTGAGAAACGCTTGCTTTAGGGTTAAACTTTTGTGGACCAAAAATGAAAGAACTCTGTTCAAGGAAAGTGAGCCAAAACTGAATTCTAAAGGCTTAATGAGTAAACTGACTATACCTAAATTTCCCTTATTGAAAAATGTAATTCTTACACCTGCAGAAAATTGTTTCCTCAACTGACAACTGTGCTCACAAGTAACTATTTGCAAGAGTAGTTAGTTATTTGTGTCTTAAAAATAATGACAGGTAGCCAGGTGTGTTTGCAAAGTCTATGCAGCAAAATATATCAGTTGATGCATATGCATGGGTGTACACATGTTCACTGTCAACTTCTTGTTTATTAGTTTCCTTTTTTTTGTTTTTTAGTATTCAAGGAATGGAAATTCATCAGCTATGTGTTTTGGTCTTCATCTGTCTATTAATCTTGATTATGGTGCATTAGTTCATATATGGTTAGACTTATAACTGTACCTAACGGTATCTCTTGGGGAGTTGTTAAAAAAAAACATTTTGCTTCTCCATCTAATGCTTTATTTCACTTCATGTATTCCAAACGAAACCTCTGGTTGGGAACTACTTCTGGTTTGTGTCCTGTGCTTGCTACACTCTGAGTAAATACTAAAGGATGAATAGCTTTTATCTCTACTATTTGGCCAAGAGTCAAGGCTGATGGTGTCTGGATGCCAACAGTGGTGATTAGCATCAGGGAATAAGGGCATTAATCACCAGAGCCGAGGCAGCCCAGGAATCTCCCTGGCCCTTTACCTTCTCAGCAGCAAAACCATGCCTGCAGCACTGCTGATTTGTGTGTGCCGTTTCCCAAATATGCTGACCTCTGGCAATACCATGTCCAAATGAGGCAAGGAGCCAGCCTGGCTAAAGGACAGGGGACAGGCAGGGAAGGAGAGAGACTACAAAGAGTTCGGTAGAGAACGGGTCAGATTCCTTCAGGGAGGGTGTGAATCCAATGTCAAAGATTATCCCCAACTCTTTTTGTCCTCTTTCCCTCCTCACATTCTTCATCAACCCTTAAATTAAAGAGTCACCGTTTTGGTGTTGAAAGGCCTCTTGAAAATCATCTTACCCACTTGTTCAACCAATGCTGAATCCTCCCGACAACTCTGGTCCTTCAGCTGCCTTGCAACGCCAATTCAGGGGATGCAGTTGAATGCGTGATAAGGAAGTTAGGACATATGCAGTTACATGTAAAATTTCAACACACATGCAATAGACCTAGCTTGTTTCACATGGGCCCTCAGAATTCTAAGAAGGGGCGCCTGGGCGGCTCAGTCAGTTGAGCGCTGACTTCGGCTCAGGTCATGATCTCACGGTTTGTGGGTTCGAGCCCCGCATCAGGCTCTGTGCTGACAGCCAGCTCAGAGCCTGGAGCCTGCTTCAGATTCTGTGTCTCCCTCTCTCTCTGACCCTCCCCTGCTCATGCTGTCTCTCTCTCTCTCTCTCTGACAAATAAATAAAAAACATTAAAAGAAATTTTTTTAATTAAAAAAAAGAATTCTAAGAAAAGGTTGGGATAAAATCTCATCATTGACTCAGACCATAACTTGATTTAAGGAGGTAAGATGTATACTAGTAACTTTTTACCTGAATTTATTTCATTGTTCTGAAATTTTGTAAATAAAGGAAAAAGAATTCTCTGCAACAGCTTCTTCCCTACCACCTCCACAGAGTGGACTATGAAGATCTGAATCCCTGAGTTTCCTGGTACTAAGTATCGCCTGAAACAATGAGCACATAAAAAAACCAAATACTCAGTATCTGCTCCAGGAGACCATTCCCCCACACTCCCAACACAACAGGTCTGATCTTCCCCTCTCCTCACTAGGTCTCCTTCTATAGAAGAAAGATGAGCCTCATCTTTTCAATACATAGGATTTTTCTCAAGTTTATTTCTCTGGCAAAGTAAGTAAAACTTAAATGGAAGCATTCATAGAATTTTATCTATCTATTTTATCTAGAGATAAAAGGTTATTAGGACCTTGATGAAACTGATCCCATAGAAGGACGAAGGGTCCACATCACCCAGAATGACTTTCACTAACAGGGATGATGTCGTCACATTGTCAGACGATCTTACTAGATCGTAAACCTTGCTGAAGTGCTTTATTTCTGTAATAACAACTGTAGAGTAGATTCATCTCTCTGACGTAAAAATAACAAATTTACACTGGCTAAAAGTAATTAAGTCATTAGTTTTTAAGAAAAGTACTCATAAAATGGTTGGTAACTTCCCACTCACCGAAAAATTCTTTTTTAGTTACCTAAAACTTAAGATAAGTGAGAGACCATTTACATGGCAACTGAGGAATTATGCTTCAAGTTATGTATAATTTGGATTTTTCTCAATATTTACCATCAATAAATACACTGAATATTCACTGAGTACTGAGAATTTTAGAGCTTCTAAAAGACACAATTCATATCTATAATGAAGTTGCAAACCAGGTCTTTCTCATTTATGTGAATGCGCGTGTATATAAACAGTTTTTTCTGTGTTGAATGTTATTATATAATATAGATGCCACGGTTGTAGAAATTCACTGTCTTTGACCGTCACTCAAATAGGTCAGTTATGGGAATAACAGGTGGGCAATGCGAACGAGGGACAAAATTCTTTTATGTCCTACTTCCTTGGATCATGGTGGTATTACTTCATTTTCCTTGTTCCACATACTAACCTCACCACAATTTAGAAAAAAAAAATTCTCTTATGTTTGACTTTTACAAAACATCCCTAAAACTGATTTTTGTTTTGCTTCCAGCAACAGTTGACAGTTCTTTCTGTATTTCTAATTTTGCTTTAGCATCCCTCTAAATGCAAATTTTGAGCCAATATCTATAAAAGGCACAGGGCATATACAGATGAGTATTTTCCCATAATGAGACTTTTAAATCAGTCCGACTCTGTGAATGGTATTTTAAAATCTGAAATAGGCAGAGAGGAAAATATGAAGTATTTTAACATGTGAAAAGGCCAATGAGTCTGGACGTGTCTGGATACTTACTCTCTCACACAGCTCTTCAAATGTGCAGTCGGCAACAGTTCCACAGGCTTTATTCAGCCGCAGCTCTCTGCCTTGCACTTTTAGAATCCTTGGTCTAGTTACTATGGGAACATGAACAAAGACTCAATCTTGTCTGGATAATTACTATAAAATTCATCTCTTACAGATAGGAAATGCATAGCTTGATGAATAATAGCACATGATTCAACACATAAATTAGACAAAATGCTGATACAATGACTGCCACTTGAGCGTGGCATCAACCCATATACAGCAATGGAACTTATTAATTGGTCAGTGGAGATTGGGCATTGTGTTCTAAATGTATTCTCTTTCAAGAGAAATTAACTTACGTACAATCATTTTGTTTCTGAGCCAGCTCATCAAACAACTTATCCATGACAGCCTCCACATCAGCTTCACTTGTGCTACAGTGAAAAGAATAATAGAATATGAAATTAATAACACTTGAAGCCAACATCAAACAGCTGCCTGAGCCTGCTTAGCTTTTTGCCCATAAAGAAAGAGAACAGGATGTTATGCTCTAAATACAAACATTAGATTTAGAATACACTTAAAAGCAGAGAATATTAACTCTCAGGTAGATGATTCTGCCTTATTTGCATACACTGAAAGACTTCTGTGCTTCTGGCTGTTTCCAGTAATGAGACGAACAGGCAGAGTAAATCCATTAATACTATGTGTACACAATGAGAAGAAAGGCTTCTGGCTCTCTCTTGCATGCGAAACAAGAGCAAATAGACAAGGCAGTCAAGCATCCAGCAAAGTATCCTTTGAAATCTCTACTGAGAGGGTACATGTGAAATTAAATATTGAAGCTGCTTAAAAAAAAAATCAAGTCAAGCCACTGACTGAGAGGATCAAACATCCAGAATTAAATTACCAGTTTCAAAATACCAACTTGATCTGCACATCAATAACTTTATCAGACTTCGAGTATAAGGACAATTATAGACCACACAGTTTCTCTCAAAAGTGTCCTTGTCAGAAATTCAAGAAAACTCTCTCCTTCTGAGATGCCTACCACTTCGCTGCTACTAGGAACTTGGTCGCATCAAAGAATCCTTTGTATTCTAATTACAAATCACCATATGGTTTAGGGAACTCACAAATACAAATGTGATAACACTATGGCCTTTTTTCCTGTCACTTTTTTTTTAAAGGGAGGTTTATAAATTAACTGTCAATAAAATAAAATAAGTGGCAGAAAAAAATTAAATGCTGTTAAAAAAAATTTCAAGTGCAAATATAAGTTTACTTCAACTCTATATACAATCTTATACAGGATGACCTGCCAGTATGGTTAATTTTGATACACAAATCACTCTCACCTAGGTGTGGAAGCAATTAAACTCAGTTCTGGACATTCATCTCAATAAAGTCTTACTGAAAACTGAAATGGCAAATTATTTTTTCTTTAGATTAAGTGTAAACAAAACTAAACTCACTTCTCCCCTGAGATAATTACCAGGTGTGATAGGCATTTAACACCTAATACTTCAACTGTTCTATAGGAAATGCTTTTAAAATGCATTTGCATTTTATTATGTTATTATTCAGTTATTATGAAGGGTTTGGAAGTGTCACATTCCATATAATAACCGTTCCACCTGAAAGGATCTTAAAAACATCATCTGCAATGGTTAACTTAGCAGGGACTTGCTATCTGACTTAAGTAAAGCCTTATATGACATCTGAGTAGGGTAGCATTCAAATAAAAAAATGGCACTACAGAAAATGATTATAGAGACAAAATGACAATTTTAAAGGTACAAAGAAATCACACAAGCCAATGTAACTGTCAACGCCCACACCAAGCACATGTGTGTTTAGATGACTTTGCCAACATTATTCTTGGGAATTCATTTAGAATTGCCTCCACCTTGTAATGGGCATAAATGCATACAACTGTTGGAGAAACCCAAGTACTTTTTAAGAGATAGAGAGGAGGAGTAAAGCCAGACACCCAAGATATCTGTTGGCTTGCAGAAAGTTAATTTCTCCTTAGGATAGGCATGTTACCCACCAGAAGGGGAGAAATGAATTCTAAAAACAACCCAGGCAGAACACGGTTACGTTTCTAAAAGCATATTTGGCCAATAAATAATTGCTTGAAAATTTCATCAGTGGTGATTTCTGTTTTACTCTGTGCTCAAATACAAGGTAACATTAAAACGTGGCTCACAAGACTTTAGTCAGGCCACATCTTCTACATCATCTATGAAATTACTATATATGATTTCACTATTATATATGATTTCACTCTAAGTAAAATGACACACTATATGTGAAATGTGAAATGTGTATAATGTGAAATGACACAATTACTTTTATTATAGCAGTATCTTATAAAAATTCTATTATATTATCATAAAAAGTTACTCAGAAGTTATAACATGCAAAATAAAAATTTTTACTGGTGTTAAGTGGCCTAAAAATAAATATTCACAAAAGTAATTCATGTAACATACAATTGAACAGACTGTTTCCATCTAAGCCAAACTGTACTTGACCTCAGGGACTTAGTTCTATTGACTAGCTGAAGGACAGGAACCTCAACTTCATATTGTCTTAAAAACAGGAGGGCCTAGAATGTGTTTTTGGTTTTATTAGATATATTTATATTGACATTAAATGAATGAGGATTCTGTGAAAGAAATCCTGACTAGAAATGAATTTATTCATAATCCCTTAACAGGTAATTTACCAAAAAACCTTAGTCTTTTCATGCTCACTCAAACCAGATTTCCGTATTTAAGAGAATGCATCAATAAGAGCTAACTTTTTAAAATATTTTTATTTATTTTTGAAAGAAAGAGAGAGAGCGTGCAGGGGAGAGGCAGAGAGGGGAGGGTACAGAAGGTCTAAAGTGGGCTCCATGCTGACAGCAGAGAGCCCAAAGCTGAGCTCGAACTCAAAAACCGTGAGATCACAACCTGAGCAAAGTTGGACGCTTAACTGACTGAGCCACCCAGGAGCCCCAGAGCTAACCATTTTTTAAAGGATGAGAATTAGATGCACAGCACTTGGGTGGCTCAGTTGGCTAAGTGTCTGACTCTTGGTTTAGGCTCAGGTCATGATTTCACAGTTTATGAGATTGAGCCCCACACTGGGCCCCCCCATGCTGCACATGGAGCCTGCTTGGGATTCTTTCTCTCCCCCTCTCTGTCCCTCCTCCTCCTGTGTGCTCTCTCTCTCTCAAAATAAATAAACATTAAAAAAGGATGAGAATTTGAAAACTAGAAAGAGAAATTAAAATGCACCTATCCATATTAGCTTAAAAGATACAGAGTGTTCCTCATTATCCAGGTTCATATCCGGTTTAAACATCTTTGAATATGTTTCATAATTTTAGTAAAAAAATTTAGATGATTCTCAACTATTTCAATGTGTCACACAGGGAATAACAAAAGCTGTATTTATTGAGCAACTATTATGTAACAATTAATTTACCTATACTACCCCTACCTTTCCATGCATGTAGTATGTGATTTGTATCAATTCCCATCAAACTTTGCAACTTTAATAATGGAACCATAAAGATAATGGTATGCAGCCAAAAGTTTCTAAAGGGAAACTATTATCAAACTATCCATGCCCAATCAAATTATTAATCAAGCAAAATAAAGATATTTTTGGACAAGTGAGTTCTCAAAAAACCCATTACCCAAGCAGCCTTCTTTGCAAAATCCTATAGGGTGTGCTCTCAGAAGAGCAAGAAGAGTTCTTGGTCCAGTAGAACCACATAAGCTCTCCCCCACTGACCCTCCTACCCACGGCAGCTATAAACTCTTGACAAAATAAAAAATAGGTCATATGAAAGCACTGAACAGTGAACAGAAGCAGGAAGATTCTGGAGAGAGCTGACACTTGGGAAAAGGGAAAAAATGGGGTGAATTACCCATTTTACAGCTTTCAGACTGAAGGTTGAGGGCAACTAAAACTCCAATGGAAAACTTGCCGTTTTTCTGGCATGAAGAACCAGAAGAGAGTTGGGGATAACCACACAGGTGGAAAATCGGGGAATTCCCGCCCCCAGAAAAGTGCTTCCAAAGTCTCAAAATATATGAATCTTGAAAATTCCTGAAATCATAAGTTATTCTGTATTCATCACAATACTTTATGTATTTTCAAATAATAATGAGTGTCCATAATAATAAACAGTGAATCATTTTTCTGTATAGGGTTTTACTAAAAGCTTCAACAGTTTTCTATTAAAAAAAGGCATAAAAATGAATTCATGGCTTATCATGATTACAAATCAATATACTGTGATATTTATATATATTTATAAATATATTATATATTTTATATTTATGTATGTATATTGTATGTATATGAATATTATAAATATGTTATGTATATTATAACATAGATTATGCTATATATTTCACTATAAAAATGACCTCTACTGGATACACGCTTTTAATTATATAGAAAATTATAAAATAATATAGAAAATATTAAAAGGAAACAATGCAAAATAAAATTATTTTAAAAGTTAAGTATCTCTAATATTTAATATGTAAAAGTTATTTTTTTAATTTACGGTTTTTAAAACACATAGCATTAATCACCCTATCTGATAGTGATGATCTTTGCTGGTTGACAAATATTCCAGACATAGGAAAATGTCATTTTGCACTGACATCGATCAAATGATTAAGAGTGTATCCTAAATCATTTTCAAGTTGGGTGTTCAGGTACATATTGCTTTACATAAACTCATTTCCCTTACTAACATGTGTCTAGCTTCGTTTACTCAATATTATCTATTTAAAGGCCATATCCCCAATACAGTTACAGTGGGAGTCAGGATTCACCTATGTGAACATGCTAGCACGTGCCTTTAGGTAAACTTACGTGTACACATCTGTTGGGCATATAACTAGATTGACTGCTGCTCACAGAGTACACCAATGTTCAGCTTGGGAAATATTGCCAGATGGTTTCCAAAGTGGTTGTAGCAGTTCACTCTCTTGCTGACACATACAAAACGTTCTACTTGTTCCATATCCTTGCCTACACTTGTTTTTTGTCCCCCATCTCTTCCATTTGTAGTTGATTTTAGTGGGTATAAATGATTTTAATGTAAGTTGCCTCAAATTGTTATTGGAAATGGTGGGGCTTAAAAATACAAATATCACTAATGCAATAGTTAATCCAGAAGCATTTGCTTAATAAAATGTCATTATGATAAACTTTAAAAACCATTCTTAGGGGGTGCCTGGGTGGCTCAGTTGGTTGAGAATCTGACTCTTGATTTTGGCTCAGGTCATAATCTCAGGGGGTCATGGGATTGAGCCCTGCATTGGGCTCCATGCTAGCGTGGAGCTTGCTTGAGATAGTCTCTCTCTCTCTCTCTCTCTCCCCTTCCTCCCTCTCTCCTTCTTTATCCCTCATTCAT